GCTGTTCCGCGATGAAAACCAGCTTTAAGCAACGGCGTAGTCGAACGGTGTAAGTAATCCTACAATTTTTTGTTTATAGCATAGTTTATACAGATTATTCCCAAAAAATTATACGTATTTTGGAAATGTTGAGTGGAATTAGTCTAGAATCGGTTAATTTTATAGAAGAAAACCTTTCGAACAGCCTTAGTCCGTAAAGTTCCCACCTATCGGGCTGCGATTGGCTCACTCCTACAACGTAATTTTCGGTTAGCGTGGAACGTATCTAAGCGTTATAGGGGGGTCTACTGTATATATTTTAAAGATTACTTATGTTGCCTGAGGGGGGTTCCCGCCCCCTCAGGCAACACAAGATTCTTACCATTTTACCGAATATTGAAATCTTAAATATGTTCTAATTACGAATAATAAAAGTTTTTATAAATGTAAAAAGGGTATTTTTAAGGTCAAAATGGCGGATTTCACTAGTCTACACGTGTTAGACGACCACCACGTGAATTATAAAAGTTTGTATTCGATATCGGGCACTTGTGCTACTTGAGAGGTTTTCTTCCATAAAATTAATCAAATCTAGACTAATTTCACTCGAATATTTCCAAAATACGTATAATTTCTTGGAAATGATCGATATAAAATATGCTATGAACAAAAAATTGTCGGAATACTTATCGAGTGTACCCGTTCGAAGACGCCATTGTTTAAGCTTGTTTTCGTCGTGGAGCGTCACATCGGACGGCGGACGCGTACGAAGCGTGTCACGTGACATTTGTTGTCGGTGCTATTCGGTCACGTGACTACTCATCTCTGACGTGTTCCTAATAACTTATTCTTTTTGCGAAGAATTTGCTAAACTTTAGAGACCACGTGATAGATCATAATTAGGGATTGCAATCCAGCAGTGTTTTTAATCCAGCTGGATTTTTGCTGGACCAACATCATTCCAGCTGGATCCAGCGCGGATCCAGCTGGAATGATGCGCGGATGTTTTTTGGTGCGATAAAGGGTAATAGTTTATCCTTACTTCATGGGCCCTTTATTTCTAATTTTGCTCTCTTTAGACACCTCTCTAGTAGACGTGTCCTAAACACCTAGAATTATTTGGGGGAGACGCGTATATTAAGAGCTATAAGCGAAAACGCATCGGATTACTTACCGACTTTGCACGGTGGAGGCCGCCATTGCTTAACCTTGTTCACATCGCGGAGTAGCACGTTGGACGGCGGACGCTTACAATTCGTGTCACGTGACCTCGGTTAAACGTCATCCAGTCACGTGAGTGGTGACGACGGAGCCATGTGGTCACGTGACTACAACTCTGACGCATTTCCGGACAACTATACCTTGAGTCACGTGATAGAGTACAGTGCGTTCGTTAATAGCGATCGTTCGTAGACATAGCGAACAACGGACAGAGGAAAAAAAGATGGCGACGTCCGTAATATCGACAGTATCGTGATGGCGGGATCTATAATTTTAAAATATGCGTTTTTAGAGACAAAATATTAAAAAAGCCTTCCAATAGTATTTTAGTAGTTACGAAAAAAAACTCGAGACGACACTTACCAATTACACCGGGTATATATATATATATGTATATATGTATATATTTGTGTATGTGTATATATATATATATATATATAATATATTGACGTGCGCTTTCACAACTTGTAATTTTTCATTCATAAATCCACATAATGGACAAGAAAACGGAACTATCTGAGCCCACGTTGTCTCCTACCTTAAACTTCTATTACAAATACACGTCGTTGCGTCCGACAGCGCGCTTCTCGCCAGAATGTAGAAACGAGTTCGAAATTAGCAGAATTAGCCTTTATTGCTAACACGTGACTACTTCTTGGGTGGCAACCCGAACTTTGTCGAGTTACGCTTACGTAACACCGTAACAGTCTATAACGAAATTCACGAGTTAAGATTGACAACGACGATTTAGTTTTCGAGATTAACTTCTTAAAAAGAGAACAGAATCAAATTACATTAAAATTCAGAATTTAATCTGAATTTTATAAATTTATGTTTATATAATATGTTATTAATATATGTATAATTAATATATTAATGTTAAGTAATATGTTTATAAATTTAGATAATAAACTTATAAACATATATGTTTTATATAGCCTAACTAATCCTTTAAGTTTAAAAATGTAAAGTTATGTAACTATAATTTATATGTAAGATATGGGATCGATTGGCTACTACATAAAGACTTTAAAACAATAGATGCAACACCAGTTAGAGCAGTGTTCATTCACCCAGTTTTTGTTTTTTTTAATTTAATTTCACATAGATAAGACGGATCATCTCTGGTCCGCAGACCACAGTTCGATCGGTCTCAGGCATAGGGCGTTATTAAGTCAGACAGCGAGCGACTTTGTTTTAAATTTCTTTTATGAATCGCACAAATTTTATTTCTTATCAGACTTTTCAATTAAACGCGAAAATACCTGTAGCTTTTAACACCAAATGGTTTACAAAAATGAATGAAATCGGAAGTAACGTAGTCGACAGAAAATTGCCAACCGAGATGTATTTAAAGAACGGATAACATAACCTTTCTAGATATTTGGCTGGATTCTTAATGCTTAAATGTAACGAAAACGTTCGCTTAGTAAAAGTTTGATATCTAAAAGGTTTGGTTATT